CAGTGCCTGGCACATAGTAAGAACTCTCACAATGTTGGCTGCTATTATTATGAGGTGGGTGCTTGTTCTTCTAAGGTACCTGTAGGGCTGGTTCCACTGAGAGCTTTGAGGCCTGTCTTTATTGCAGATGGAAGCTGATGTGACAGGCAGTGTTTAATTCTGTTGTAGTGTCCATTTCTCCCTCAGCTCTGAATTCTTTGAGGGCAGAGGCTATGTTTATCATCCCTTCAATTCAGCAAACTGACTTGAGTGTCCATGTGTGCCAGGCTTTGCTGGGTACAGTGATAAAGATGAATGAACAAAGGCCAACATGGCCCCCTACCTTGTTTCCTGGGACCTAGAATGTCTGTCTCAAAATGCAGGTCGAAGAACTGAGGAGTGTTGATATGAATTCTTCTGAGTACAGATTTAATTTTAAAACATTAATATCCTCACACTTTTGACTTCTGATCAATTTCATACTGGTAAAGGCAGATTCTGTTTAAAATGTTGATGGACTATGTGGGTTTGCCTCTGGTTGGCTGTCTTGACTGATAGGAAGCTGGTCTGAAGCTACTATTTGATTTAGAACCTTGTAAGTTGGAAATTCCTCATTTATAGTGCCAGGGTTGATGCTACTTTGGAGAAGCTATTTATTTATTTTTAATTGAAGTATAATTGACATACAATATTATATTAGTTTCATGTGTACAGCATAGTGATTTGACATGTGTATAATTGCAAAATGATCACCACAATACGTCTAGTTACCGTCAGTCATCATCCAAAGTTAATACAATACTATTGACTACATTTCCTATGCCAAAAATTACATCCCCATGACTTATCTTATAACTGGAAGTTTGTACCTCTTGGTCTTCTTTTGCCCAGTTTGCACCAGAACCCCCATTCCCTCTGGCAACCACATTAGTTTTCTGTATCTATGAGTCTGGGTTTTATTTGGTTTTTTAGATTCCACATATTAGTGAAATCATGTGGTAACTGTTTTTCCCTGTCTGACTTATTTCGCTTAGCATAATACTCTCAAGGCCCATTCATGTTGTTGCAAAGGGCAAGGTTTCATTCTTTTTTATGGCTGAGTAGTATTCCATTGTGTATATGTACCACATCTTCTTTGCCCATTCATCCATCAGTGGATATTTAGGTTGTTTCCATATCTTGGCTATTGTAAATAATGCTGCAATGAACATAAAGGTGCATTTATCTTTTTAAATTTGTGTTTTAATTTTCTTCAGATAGGTATACAGAAGTGAAATTGCTGGATCATGTAGTAGATACAGTAGTTCTATTTTTAACTTTTTAGGAACCTCCACACTGTTTTCCATAGTGGTCACACCAATTTACATTATCACCAACAGTGCATGAGGGTCCCCTTTCTCCATATACTCGCTAAAACTTGTTATTTCTTGACTTTTTTATATTAGCCATTTTGATAGGTATAAGGTGCTGTCTCATCGTGGTTTTGATTTGTATTTCCCCGATGATTAGTGATGATGAGCACCTTTACATATGCCTATTGGCCATCTATATGTCTTCTTTGCAAAAATGTCTATTCATATCCTCTGCCCATTTTAAAGTTGGATTGTTTTTGTGTTATTGAGTTGTATGAGTTCTTTATATATTTTGTATATTAACACCTTAGTAAATATATGATTTGCATATATGAATGGGATTTGCATATATGAATGGGATCTTCTCCCATTCATCTGGCTGCCCTTGCATGTTGTTGATGGTTTCCTTCATTGTGCAAGAGCTCTTTAGTTTGATGTAGTCCCATTTGTTTATTTTTGCTTTTGTTTCCCTTGTCTTAGGAGTCAGATTTTAAAAAAACATCACTAAGATCAATGTCAAGGAGCTTACCACCTAGGTTTTCTTCTAGGAGTTTTATGGTTTTGGGTCTTTCATTCAAAATTTTAATCCCTTTTGAGTTAATTTCTGTACATGGTGTAAAATAATGGTTGTTTCATTCCATTGTATATAGTTGTCCAGTTTTCCCAATACCATTTATTGAATAGACTGCCTTTTCCCCATTGTATATCTTGCCTCCTTTGTAGTAAATTAATTGACCATGTATGCATGGGTTTACTTCTGGGCTCTCTACTCCGTTACTTTAATCTATATGTCTATTTTTATGCCAATATCATACTTTTTTGATCCCTATAGCTTTGTAGTATAGTTTGAAATCAGAAGCTTTTTAAAAAGCTTAAAATATCAGTATGCGTATCTGCCGGTGGCCCACTTTCCGAGAAAAGAATTGCTAGCATTAAGGAAGCATGGCTGGGAACCAGTGCTGCACATGTTCTGGGCACAGCAGGATATCATAGGCCCTGGTCTTTGATGACTGAGGAAAAGGGAGATGACCAGAAGGAGGTGTAATGACAGCAACATGTTTGTTTAATTTTCTTACCCAAACTGAAATTTTGAACATGTACTGGTATGAATTCAACACTCACTCATTCTGCTCTAAGGTTATGTACACTCCTGGGAACCCATGGTTCTCATCCTGTGGCTGCTCAGTCACTGACAACCATAGTATTTCATCAATTTTGAGACGCTGATTATTTTTCCATTTTTAACATCTCTGAAATTGAGATGCGTCTTACATTGCTGGCATCCTAAGCATTTTGTTTGAGTTTAATTGGCAGGGTTTTTTCTTTCATATAACTTATAGCCTATTAAATTTGATGAAATATGACAGTGGTTCCCAAACTTTGCTGCAAAGAATCACCTAGCTGTCTTTAAAAATTATTGATGCCTGGCTCCTACCCTCATTCATTCTGATGTAATAAGGTTGGGGTACAACTTGGGCATCAGGGTTTTTCAAAGCTCCCAGGAGATCCTAAAGTACAACAAAGTTTGGGAACTGTTGAAATACAGTATTTCTTCAGTATTATTTCTTCAAGCTTTTTTCAACTCCTAGGTTTCATGGAAAGCATCCTTACAGATTCTGCTTATTATACTCCTCTCTGTCGATGAATGATATCTTTCCAACTGCATCCACTAATCATTCTTTATATTCTCATTATAATGTCAGCGCCAGGAGGACGAGGATTTTGTCTGATTTATTTTCTGTTATATCCTCAGCATCTAGCATACCTTAGGTATGCTGCAGTAGACACTCGATAAAGATTTGATAAATGAATAAATATTCCTCCTTTATACTATTTAGTTCCCTGGTAAACTCATTCCTTATGCAATTTCCAATAAAAGTGTTATATTTAGATGATTTCAAAATCTGGTCCTCTGTTTCCACTGGTCATCTTTCAAGACCCAGTTTCATAGAAAATTCACTTCAAAACTTGAGCTCAGTGTTTTCTCTTTCCACCCAAACCCTAACATCCCAGTCCTGGTTTTCCCTTACCTGTGCACCACATGGGTTTCCTTCCTGAGTCTCAAGCCTCGTCTTTCCTTTCTCCTCCCCATATGCAGTTACTCACTGACTCCTGCAATTTGTCTTTCTGAAAATTCTCTTGAATTTGTTCCTTCCTTTAAGCTTCCACAACACTGAATTTGTCTCCTTGACTTTTATTTACTTGCATTTCAAATAATCTCATACCCACATGCTAGCAATTGGTTTTAAAAAATACTTATGCCCGGCCGGGCATGGCTCAGTGGTTGAGCGTCGACCTGGGATCCAGGCGATCAGGGTTCGATTCCCGGTCAGGGCACATGCCCGGTTGTGGGCTTGACCAGTGACTCTCTCGTCATTGGTGTTTCTGTCTCTCTCTCTCCCTCTCCTTTCCTCTCTCTGAAATCAATAAAGATTAAAAAAAATTTTTTTAAATAAAATAAAAAATACTTATGAGAGTTGGAATATATAGATGTAAAGTACATGAAAAAAATGCATAAATGAGGAGAGCATCTGAGATCTTGCTCCCCAGCATATGTTGTCAGTTTGGTTCAAATAAACTCTTATAAAAATTCTTTTAAAATACCATAAAGGATGGGAGAAGATAAAGACAATTAAATTGTTGCAAAGTTCTTGCATTACTTGGGAAGTAGTAAAGGCATTAACTTAAAGTAAATTGTAAAAAGTCAAGGGTGCATACCTTGAAACATTTGAGGTGACTGCTAGAAAAACAGCACAAGAATATATAATAAAATAAGGCAATAGAGAGGAATTTCCTTTTTAATACTGAGCAATAAAAAAGGCAGGAAAAGAGAAATAAAAGAAAAAAGAACTTACGGATTAAATATAAAGAAAACAGCACAATGGTAGAGTTAAAACCAACTCTATTAGTAATTATATTAAATGTAAATAAAAATATATGCCACAAACACACTAACCAAAAGAAAGTTGGTATGTCTTGAATAATATCAGACTGGGAGACTTTATGGCAAGAAGAATTACTAGATATAAGTAAAGACATTTCATAATGATAAGGAGTCCATTTAAACGTAAGACATAATGAACCTCAATTTGTATGCACCTAATAACCAAACTTAAAGAAAAATAGACAAATTCACAATTCTGCTTTCAGTTATTAATACACAAAGCATGAAAAAAATCAGTAAGGAGGTGGAAGACCTGATCGGCACAATGAACAAACCTGACCTAGCTGACATAGGACAGGACACTACACTCAAGAACCGCTGTCCTCTTAAGAGCACATGGAACACTTGTCCAAATGGCCATATGCTAAGCTAGGGAGCAAGTCTCAATAAATTGCAAAGGACTGAAATAATATGAAACATATTCTCTGACTGCCGTGGAATTAAACTAGAAATCAATAATAAAAAATAAATTAAACATCTCTAAGTACTTGGAAGTTAAACAGCATACTTCCAAATACATCATAGAACAAACAAGGTGGCTTACAACAGCAGCCTTTTATTTAGCCCACGATTCTGGGGATCAGCAATCTGGGCTGGGCTGGGCTGGGCTGGGCTGATCTCGGCAGGGGCTCACTCACGCATCTGTGGTCAGCTTCTGGGGTAACTGAGGCTGGTGGGCAGGGGTGCTTGGGTTCTCTTCTATGTGACCTCTCATCCTCCAGCAATTGTCGCCCCCAGATTCCAGGGGTAATGAGAGAGGGCGAGCCCCAGTTGACTAGCACGTTTCACATCTCTCCATTTGCTACCACTGTTCCATTCGCCAAAGTAGTCACACAGCTAAACCTACACTCAAGAGGTGGAGAAACAGGCTCCACTTTGGCTGGAAGAGCTGCAGTCACAGTGCAGTGTGCTTATGGGGATGGGGGGAGCTTATGGCCATTTACAATGCAGATCCTCAGAGCCTGCTCAGACCTACTGCGTCTCTTCTCTGTACAGAGGGGTCTGGACTTTGCCTCTATCAGGTGACTCCCCCTCCTTCATACTGTAAAATGTTGACACTATTAATATTACATGTGAGATATATGATCTGTATCTTTAAAAATATGGCACAGTATCATAATGTACGTTCCTGACCCTATCACCCCATCCAAAACCTGGATCATTAGCAATAATTATCTATATTTATAACTACCTATGTGCTTCTCTATTATGCCTTCCTCCTGCCTCCCACAAGAGGTAACACGTTACATTTTGTTTTCCATTCTATTAAAATAAAAATATATGCCCATACAATATATTGCTTAGTTCTGTTTGCTTTTAAAAAAAATTTTGGCCCCATGTAAGAAAATTGACTTACTGTTTTATTTCCTGAATTTTTTATTGTGATAAAATACATAGAACATAAAAATTCCTGATTTTAACAATGCTTAAGTGTAAGATTCAGTGGCATTAATTACATTCACAGTGTTGTGCAACCATCGCCACTGTTTGCAAAACTTTTTCATCAGCCCAAATAGGAACTTTGTACCCATTAAACAATAACTCCCCTTTCCTTCCTCCCTCCAGCCCCTGGTAACCTTTTATCTACTTTTTGTCTCTAAGAATTTGCCTCTTCTAGATATTTCATGTAAGTGGACTCATATAATACTTGTCGCTTTGGGTCCGGTTTCTTCTTGCACTTAGCATAATCTTTGCGGTGTTTCCTCATGTGGCGGTGCGCATGATAACTTCATCCTGTTCGCAGGTGAATAATATTCCATCGCTTGTCTGCGCCATGTTTGCATATCCCCTTACTTGCTGAAGGCCACCTGGACTGTTTCTCCCCTGTGGCTGCTGTGAATCATGTCACAACGAACTCTGGTAACAATGATCTGTTCGAGTCTCTGCTTTCAATTGTTTTGGGTATATTTCCAGAAGTAGAATTGCTGGGTCCTGTGGAAATTCTATGTTTAGGTGTTTGAGAAACCAGTCAACTGTTTTCCACAGAAACTATACCATTTTACATTCCCATGAGTGTATGAGAATTCCGCTTTTCCCTACATTTTTAAAAAAAACTGTAGCCATTCTTATAGGTGAAGTGGTGTCTCAAAGCGGTGTTGGTTTGCGTCTCCCAAATGGCATTTTCCAGCAATGTGGAGCATCTTTTCATGTGCCGATTGCTCGTTTGTATACTTCCTTTGGAGAAATGTCTATTCAAATAATTTGCCCACGTTTTAATTGGGTTGTCCTTTTGTTGTCCAAGTTCTTTATATAAAATCCTCATCAGATATATGATTTGCAAATATTTTCTCCCCTTTACAGACTACCTTCACTTTTCTGAAATTATCCCTTGATGCATAAAAGTTTTTAATTTTGATGAAGCCCAATTTATCAATTTTTTCTTTTGTTGCTTGCAAGTTTGGCATCATATCTAAGAATCAATTGGCAAATTTTGCTTGGTTCTGAGCTCCACAGGAATGGAGTCATTCTGAACATGATCTGAAACTTGCAGTCTTCTTTCAAAATTATGTTTATGAGATTATCCAGGTTCTTTCACAGTTCATTTTTATGGCTGTATAATGTTCCATCATAGGAATATACCACACGTAACTTACCTGTTCCCTCATTAATGGACATTTGTGTTGTTTCTAGTTATTTTGATATTACCTCACTGCCACCATGAATATCCCAAAGTGATTCTTTTGTACACTCTAATTTAAGAACCACTTACTTTTTCTTTTTCGATCCTCACCTGAGGATATGTTTCCTTTGATTTTTAGAGAGGGAGGGAGGGAGAAAGAGAGAGAGAAGGAGAGAGAAACATCGATGTGAGACAGACAGATCGATTGATTGCCTCTTGTACATGCCCCAAATGGGGAATGAAGCCAAAACCTAGGTATGTGTCCTGATCCGGAATTGAACCCACAACCTTTTGGTGTACGGGACGATGCTCCATCCAACTGAGCCACTTGACCAGGGCCCACTTACCTTTGCCAATGAATGAAGCAAGCTTTTATTGAGTTGCTATTAATTTCAGTTGAATAGTAACTGGGGAAACAGGTGCAGACATTTGACTGAAGCATATACATTTTCTCATCTGCCTCTCTGGACTAGCTGCTGGACTATAAACCTGTAAGAACCACCGCCATTGAGTAGGATGTGTGCTAGTCCACACAACAGCTTTAACCGTTTTCTGTGATTCCTTGCAAAAGGCAATCAGAGGCGACAATAGACACATTTTACTGATTTCAGGTTGGAGAGCTTTTAAGCAATAGGGAGATATCAACACAGGACAGGGGACATGATTGTGAAAAGGAAATGCTTTCTTTAGAGCCCCATCTCAGCCAGGTGGCAGGAGTGTCTAAAAGGGATTTGAAATAACCCCAAAGAAGGGTTTTTTTCCCCCATGCTGGTTACCAAACAGAGAGATACAGATTGATGGTGCCCCCCTGCCCTGTCCAGTAGCTGATTTCGGGAAGCTCTTTGGCAGCTACCTGGGGTCATGATGTGACCAAGTTTCTTTGGAGTTTGTAAGAGAACAGCAGGGGAGACTCAAGGGTGAAGCAAGAGCTCAGCTCCTAACAGGGATGTTTGTGGCACTGTTACCGGAAAATGTCAGTGACCTTGGCAAGGCCAAAGGTGTTTAGACACAGGAGTTACAAAATCGAGAAGGGGTGGGGTGAAATATTACAGGCATAAAAGCATCAGCAGCTGCACCCCACAGCACTGCTTTTCCAGAGGCGGGACAAACCAAAGATGCGGTGAGTCCACAGCTCTGCCCACCATCCCTCCCTTTCCCTCCTTCCTCCTTTGCATACATCTTTCATCTACATGACAGCCCGGGCATGGGAGAAGTCTATAGAACAGATGCAAAAATATAACAAATAAGTAGGGTAAAGGGGCTAAATTATAGCGATTTAAAGGGTGCAGTGTGTTAAATCCTCTGCTTTTCTTGCATCCATAAGTGATAACGCTTCCTGATACTGCCGTCCTTCCCGGGAGACGCGACTTACTCTGTGGAATATCTTTTTTTCCTTGAGATTGTGAAGTTTTCATTTTTGTAGGAGATGACAGCAGTGTCTATGGCAGGCTTCCTGGTATTTTAAATATGTTTATTAGCAGGTTTTTTTTCTTTTTAAAAATGCATAATAAGAAAGGCCAATAATGACATATTTGGGTGACACAATTAAGGCACTTAGGTTTTACCAAAATAAAAAGGTTTTTTGAAATGTTGAAGTAGCACAACTAGAAAGTTAACTGAGCAATCTCTAAAGGGCTGGCGTCTGCCAGTGAGGTGATTCACTGGTAATGCACAGTGATGCAGAGTGAGGTGGCCTGTGCATTGATGCCCATGTCCAATCATGCTTTCAGGAAGCCAGCTGCCCCCCAGGTAACCTTCTGGCACTTCGGGGTTTGATGTACCATTTCTTGAAGGCAAATTATTATAAGAGAAACAACCACAAAAATATTTTAAATAAAATATTTCCAAAACCTTTTCTTCTGGAAAAGTTAGAAAAGTAGAGAGACTAACAGAGTCAACCCCCAACGTTCCTCTGTTCCCTGCATTTTATGTGCGGTGTCCTTGTAGCCCCATACTCCAGGGGTGCCCGAGGGAAGCTTCTCTTTGCTGGAGAGCTCGTGCATTACTGCTTGTTTAATGTTTCCTGAACATTACCTGCCAGAAATCGAGATGCACACACCTGTGTGTCTCCCTATGTTGGTGGTTCCTCTCTGCAGCTTATGTAGAAATCCCAGCAGCATAGAGTTTGTTGGCCTGGATGTACCGGGAAGCTGTCAAGTGTGTATTTGGTGGGTCCTAGCACTTCCATATGGCTATTTTCTTTCCTGGTTGCATAATAGGGGGGTGTGTGTGTGTGTGCGTGCGTGCGTGCGTGTGTGTGTGTGTG